CGCGGGGGGGGGGGGCCCCGCGCGGGGGCGCCGCCCCGGGCGGCCCCCCCCGCCCTCCCCGCCCCCCCCCCGGTCCTCCCCTTCTGTCCACTGAGGCTCCCCGCCGGCCTCGCTCCCCCACTCCAGCTCTTCTCCGGGGTCCTCTGGCTGCTCTCTCACCCAGCTCCTCCTCGCCCCCAGCTCCTCTCTAGCATCTATCGGGCTTTTAGCTTAGACCCCGGGTCGCCGTCCGGACACGGCCGCCCGCAGCCAGGCCCTCCCCGGTCCGTTCGGTCCTCCCCAGTCCTCACCCCGCCCAGCCTCCTGTCCATCCCTTTCTTCCTCGGCTCTCCGTGGTCTCCTTCACCCCTACGGGCTTTCTGGCGCCCCACCCTTATTCCCAGCCCTTTTTCCGGTTCTCACTGGAACTGGGAGTGAGGTCCCATTCCGGGAAGCCCCCCACTCCTGGGAACAGGCCCCTCTTCAACCTTGGCTGAAGGAGGGTGGGATTTGGGCGTTGTTTTCCCCTGAGGCTTGGCTCTGAGTTGTACAGGTCTTCCAGAAGGTGGGAAGTGGTGGTCGTAGAAAAACACAATTCTCACCCAGTTTTCACCTAAATGAAGAATTAGGGTTAAGAGAGTTAATATATTCAACTCGAGGCGACTTGAAAAGAGGTGGTATTGGCAGTGACGATTTTTGTCCCTTAGGTTGGGACTGGTTGGAAAAACCTTATTTTCTTTTGATTTTCATCATTGATAATTCTTTTGGCAGTGTTGATGCCTTTTCGATCTCTGCCAGATGCTATGTCATGATCAGTGTACTTCGAATTTTTCTCACCTCTCTTCCATTTTTTTTCTCATTTCAACATGGAACATCATTTGAGTATCTATGATGCAAGCAGGGATTAAGGGGTGAAATGTTAATCATTCATTTTTTCTTGAGTATTTTCCAGTTACATGTTTAAGATGCAAGTGAGAAAAGAATTAAAATAATAAACATCTTTGTTTTGTAGGATTGCCTTTGGGCAGTAGGTCAGTAAAAGAGCCATCATCCAGCTCTCTAAATTAGATTTGAATACCATTTGAGCTAACTGATTATCTTATGCCTAATATTTCATAGAGTCTTGTGAATGAAATTGTACAGTCATTTACCTGGTCAAGGTTCTGCAGTCACTGTACTTCCTATTAGATACAAGGTCCTAATTTTGTGATGGTTGTCATTAAGATTACATATGCCAACAGCTTTATTTTGTATTATACAAACTGAACAACAATTCAGATTATAATCTTCCTTTTTCCCTCCATATTTTAGGTTTTGTTATTAGCTTGAACTATTTATACCAATTTGGAACTTTATATCAAGTCAACACTGGTTTAATTTTGCCTTTAGCTGGACATGGGAAATAATTTTTCTTGTGTGTTTAGATTTGTCTTCCTTGCAACCTTGTAGGATGGAAATATCATGTCTCCCTCCTGTTTGCTTATGAATATTTAAGTATAGACATGTCCAGGTCAGCAAGGTGGCTCAGTGAGTAAAACAGGTTCTTACCACCACACTTGACGTCCTAAATTCAAAGAAGGGGAGAACCAACTCTCAGAAGTTGTCCTCTGATCTCCATGAACACCCACCTACAAAAAAAATTTAATGTAGTAATAAAAAATTTTAAATAAAATACACATTTTCTTAGATGAGTAACTTGGTGAAACCTGTGAAGTTGATCCTGAGCCAGTTAGTGTTACATGGCAATTTGAAGACAGTCCCATATATAAAATAAAGTTCATTGGCCATTATTAATAAATAGGTTTGAATGTACTTGTTATGCAGTCTAGGAAGATGGTTGACTGCCTCATATTGTGTATAGGACTACTTAGTTTTCACAAAATCCATTAATCTTTCTATTGAAGCTTTTAGTGTGAGGAGAGATCTTAACTTGTAACTATGTGCAGGTTTCCTTTGAATTTCTTGAGTGTTTATGTTGCACATATTAGTTTTATGACTTCTAATTTCTTTTTTCGTTGCTTTTTTTTTTTTTTTTTTAAAGGTAGAATTACATTTATTAGCCCAGGCTGGCCTCAAATTTGGAGTCCTCCTGCCTCAACTTTCTGAGTGCTGAGATTTCAGGGGTGATCCACTGCACCCATTTTTCTTTCTTTTTTTTTTCTGTTTTGAAATTAATTTCTTTTTTTGGCAGTCTTGTGTAATGAGGCTGGTCATGAACTTTGTATAGACAAGATTTGCCTTGAATATCTGATGCTCCTGCCTCTACCTAAGTGCTGGGATTACAGGTATTTGCCACTATGTTTAGTTTTATGTGGTGCTAAATGAGCACTATACAAGTTAAGCTGTATCTTCAGCCATTAGTAAATTAATCTTTTAAGTTGGTAAACAAAGTAATGTGTTTCAGTACAGCTTTCTCACATTTATGTATGTGTGCATGGACAGAGACAGTCTTAGTGTAGCCCAAGCTGGCCTTGAAGGTATGAGATCTTCTTGCATCAGCCTCTGTTTCTGTCATTTCTTTCTTTAGATAACTTATCAACTAACTATTCTGTGAATTCCCAGCCTTTCCAAGTGGCTACTAAATACAATGTCTTGTTAAATTTAGCTATGAGTGTACGTATGTTTCTATATGTTAGCACAGTTAGATTTACAGAAAGTTGATAAAATAGTACAGAGGATACTTATTCATCCTGCATTGTTTCCAACTAATACCTTACATTAGTAAAGTACATTTGTTAAAATTCTTGGCTCAATATTGATTTATTATTAACTAAAATTCATTATTTCGATTCACTTAGTTTTAAAAACTCAATATTCTTTTTCTTCTTCAGCTTTCCTTTGAAGATACCACATTACGTTAAGTTGTTATATATCTTTAGGTTTCACTTGCTCACTTTAGGATTATGTTTGCATGCTTTTTGCTCTTTAGAACTGTGAGGTTAATTATCTTTTGAGGTCATCATATTGCTAAGTAATGACATCCAATAGTTTTGACACTGAAAGATTGATTTCTGTCTTCATGGTCAGTGTCTGTAGTTTTCTTATGCATTAGCAAAGATATGTAGAATCTATGTTACATTGATGTAACTTGCTATGAATTATTTATTTTTAGGTTTGTTAGAATTCACAATTTGGCTTTTAAAGACCGTACTCTTTGTTTTCTTAATAACATTTACCTCATTTATAATGTTTTATGTGTTTGTATTGTCTGTTTTCCAAGGCAGAACAGAATGCAAGTTCCATAAGATAAAAATGTTATGTTCATAGAGCTCCTGTTGCCTAACATAGAATCAGTCTCATGGTAGCTGCTCAGAAATATTTAGTGACAGAACAATAGTTAAATGTAATAGCAGCCAAAGCTAATTCCCTATATTTTTTGTTATGTTCCTCATGCAATTAATAGTTTAGTAATAACATTGTGTACCTAGATGATTTGATCATGTATAAGGATATTCCAGATGCTGGAGTTTAGATAGGGGAACTAGCTAGTAATTTAGAGGCTCAACCATTTCACTAAAAAAAAGCATTTAGCTGCATATTACACTTTTTTTTCTTTTTGAGTTAATTTTTTTTGTTAAAGCTATTAATTTATTTGCTGTTAGTATAATACATAGAATGTATCAAATGTGCAGATGGTATAGTCAGATGATTTTTATTTAGCTTTTCAAATGAAAGATGAATTGTTTCAATACTTGACAGATTAGTTAATGGCATGAATCTCGACAATTTTCTCTTTATTTTAGTAGTACATGATAAAGGAATGTTAAACTATGAAAGTCCTAAAGTCTCCTTCAGGAGAATATTTTGTTATTATCAGGCTATTGTCTGGAATTCCTGAGGGGCTTTTAGGAATGTCATTAAGTGGTTTATGATGGATTTTACTGCAAATGTAATTGTTATTGATTATTAGGAACCATTATGGCAAGGAGACATATATATAATACTGCTTTTTTCATTTCATATTACTTTTTTTTCTGTCAATTTTTTGAACTACAGTTTATTAATTAGATAGTGAAAAAGTGTCAGCGGCTAGTAATATTGAACACTGTAATAGTATAGTATAGGCTACCCTGTTGTATTGGGTATTATGTATTTCTTCTCTGAAAATTCCTTATGACTAGGGTCTATTAAATCACTTAAAGTTTTTCAGGAATGTACTTAAGTGTTTACTAAGTACTCTATTTTCCAGACTCTTAGAAAAATATTTACATTTAATTAATCTTCATAAT